ATGTGGCAAAAACCATCAAAATACCGAATATCGGGAGGTACCGTTATATGAGGGCTATACCAAATCATGGACCCATACATGCAATGTTTCGCCACCGGAGCTGGAACCCATTATGACCAACAAATACCGATTTTCAGACAAATCCGTGAAAAAATGTTGCAAAAATCATCAAATTACCGAATATCTGGAGGTACCGTTATATGGGGGCTATACCAAATTTTGGACCCATACATGCAATGTTTTGCCACACGCTCAGGGACCTGCTATGACCTACAAATACCAATTTTAAGACAAATCCGTGAAAAACGTGGCATAAATCATCAAAATACCGAATATCGGGAGGTACCGTTATATGGGGACTATACCAGAACGTGGACCGATATATCTGATTTTCAATACCAACCATCCTAGACACAATGCAAATAGCTCTGCTAAATTTTGGAGCTCTACGTCAAATAATGTGGGCTGTATCGTGATTTCAACAGACAGACAGACAGACGGACAGACAGACAGACAGACAGACGGACAGACAGACGGACATCGTTAAATCGACTTAGAATTTTATGCTGATTATGAATATATATACTTCATGGGGTCTAAGACGAATATTTAAGGATGTTACAAACGTAATGACAAAGTTAATATACCCTCCTTTCCAAGGTGGAGGGTATAAAAATCTGCTTGAACTGACGCTTCAAACGCGGTTTGTCATTAAGCGATGTGACATCTCTGTCAAAAGTTATGGCGTTGCCAGATGGGTCCGTCGAATATGGGAAACGCTGTAGATTGTAATTCATGAGAATTCATTCAAAATTCTCCTACAAATCACCATTTTCGTAGGATAATGTTAAAGACAAACATATTCTGCCTCAAATTTCATTATGAGTCACCATAGAAAAGAAATTTGTATTTCCGTCATTTATAAAGAAATAATTGCATACATTTTGAATGTTGCTTTGCGGTATTTTGGCCCATCACCGGCGAAGCCCTGGCTTGAGGTGATCGACACTTTGTATTTTTTAGTGCCAACCTTGCTCGAGATGCAATAGTCCAACGGATTGGTATCCGGAGATTTTGGTGACCATTGTGCGCTGGACATGAAGCGAGGAAATCTAATTTTGTAAGCGTTCTTGGGTTGCGCGTTGCTAGGTCTTGTTGGAATGTCCAAGGTCTGCGGCCAAATAGTTTGTGTGTCCAAGGCTTTAATACACCCTCCAGAATATGTTCGCGATAATATTCGGCATTTATTCTGATGCCACGGTCGATTAATATGATCGGAGAGCGACCATCGGCTGTTATGGCGGCCTACGCTTGAGTTCTGGTGGCCAACCGAAGGTGCACATTTTCAGCTGACCTCTTTGGCAAGTAAACACGATCATTTCGTTTGTTTACAAACTGCTGGACAACGAATGTTTTTTCATCGGAGAAAACCAAATTCGGCAGTTCATCACTCTCGGCCAAGCGAAGCAACTCTTCAGTTCTTTTGAGTCTAATTTCTTTCTGTTGCTGTGTAAGTTCTTGTACTTTTTGGAATTTCAATGGCTTTATCCCGAGCTCATTTTTCAATATTTGCCGAATGGAATATTGCGATATGTTCAGCTCACGAGCCATTTGTCGGCCACTGCGACGCGGGTTTCGATTAAGTCACTTCATTACTTTTGGAACCATTTCTGCTGATTTTGCTGTTTTCTTCCGTCCACTTCCTTGACGTCGGGCTACGCTACCAGTATCACGGTAACGAGCGATGGTATGAGACACAAAATATTTAATCACATTTAAATGCTGGAATGCTCTAACGATAGCCACTTGTGGTTTTCCAGCCAAATATAAAGAAATCACACTATCACGCTTGAATTCCATCACGAATAACTTTTTTCTGGAAAATTCTCACCAAAATGCCTCTGTACGCTTGTAAACAATATAGTGAGCTGCCTTTGGAATAATTTTAACAGCTGTCTGACGAGTGGCTTAGAAATGACAGCAGTCTGAAGTTGGTTGCAGTTTTTTCATCTCACCCTGTAGTACTCATTTGTAAAACCGTTCCATATCTCAATTCTGGAGACGACAAATTATCGCAATACAATTTTGTACTGTTTCAGGTTTTATACTAAAAGCTAATTTGAGGTTTCAAGAACTATCTGTTCACCAAACACCAAATCGTACCAAATATAGTTCTATTAAGTACTTTTTGAGCACTTGTGGTGCACATTTCTTGAACCATCTGTTTATTACCCAACACAAAATTTCGAAATTCCAGATTCATCTATTAACTCTTAACAAAATTTCGCGTACATAGTACACATTTCCAAAACCAAAATTTTTAGCCCCATCTGTTCTCGTAATACGTTGTGGAACTATTTTGGAAGTTTAATACTATTTTAGAACTTTTCCAATCCTTCGAATTTTTAAAACCTTTTTATACCCTCCACCATACTGTGGAGGGTATACTAACTTTGTCATTCCGTTTGTAACTCGTCGAAATACTCATGTCAGACCCAACAAAGTATATATATTCTTGATCAGCGTAAAATTCTAAGTCGATTTAGCGATGTCCGTCTGTCTGTCTGTCCGTCTGTCTGTTGTAATCACGCTATCTTTCGAATGAATTGAGATAGATGGCTAAAATTTTGCACACATGTTTATTTTTCCAGTAGGCAGGTTAAGTTCGTAAATGGGCCATGTAGGTCCACGTTTTCATATAGCCCCCATATAATGGTACCTCCCTATATTCGGTATTTTGATAATTTTAGCGACATTATTCACCGGAATGGTTTCAAAATTGGTATTTGAAGTTCCAAATGGATACTACACCCTAAGACAGAAAATTGTCTGTGCAGGTCCACGTCTTCGTATAGCCCCCATATAACGGTACCTCCCTATATTCGGTATTTTGATGATTTTAGCGACATTATTCATCGGAATTGTTTCAAAATTGGTATTTGAAGTTCGTTATAGGAACTACAGTCTGTGACAGAAAATTGTCTGTGCGGGTCCAGGTCTTCGTATAGGCTCCATATATCAGTACCTCCCTATATTCGATATTTTGATGATGTTAACGACATTACTCCCGGGAATTGTTTCAAATTTGGTACTTGAAGTTCAAAATGGATACTACACCCTAAGACAGAAAATTTTCTGTGCAGGTCCACGTCTTCGTATAGCCCCCATATAACGGTACCTCCCTACATTCGGTATTTTGTTGATTTTAGCGACATTATTCACCGAAATTGTTTAGGATGTGGTATTTGAAGTTCGTTATAGGAACTACAGTCTGTGACAGAAAATTGTCTGTGCGGGTCCAGGTCTTCGTATAGGCCCCATATATCAATACCTCCCTATATTCGGTATTTTGACGATTTTGGGTACAATACCCACCGAAATGGTTTGAGATGTGGTATTTGAAGTTCGTAATGGATACTACAGCCTGTGACAGAAAATTGTCTATGCTGGTCCAGGTCTTCGCACAGCTCCAATTTAACGGCACCTCCTTATATACGATATTTTGATGATTTTAGCTACATTATTCACCGTTTATTTCAAGTTTCGAATTTGAATATGGTAATGGCTTATGACAAACAATGTCTATGTATGTCCACGTCGTATAGACCCCAATATAAGAGCTATTTTTTAAGGATTTTATTTTTTGAAAATTTCCAAATTCGTTGCAAATGGTGGAGGGTATTAAAAGTTCGGCCCGGCCGAACATAACTTGTTGTACATATCCGATTTCAATTATATTCAGATCCTAATGTGGACTATTAGCCCATATAGAGTGGATTTGCCACTTAAGAAATATTTTTTTTTCAATATACTTAGCTTCAATATTTGAATAAGAGATATTGAGAGATATTATCCTATCTTCCAAACGAATTGGATTTTGGGGTATATGTTCCGATTTTTAAGCCAAATTTAAATAATTTAATTTGATTTCATTAAGATAGAGTTAAGCAATTTATTTAATGGATTTATTTAAGTTAGTGTAAAATGTCCCACCCCAAACCTTTCAACATTGCATATATATGGTCCATTATAACTACTTGTTTTATCATATTCAACCCCTCACCCCCCATTTGCACATAAAAAATAATGTCACATTTGATTAATCACTGAAGAGAAAAACTGTCGGAAAGAAATTAAAAAAAAATCCACTCCATTATAAAATAATGACATTTTGCGATAAGATTGCTATTTGCTGGGCAATGTCATTCAAAACTAAATGAAAGTATAAATGTCAACAAAGACCAACTGAAGTAAAAGTGTATGGAAAGTGGCATAGAAATGATTGATACCACACAAATCCTGTCACCTTATCAGTTGTAGTAATGAAGAAAAACGAACTGAAGGAAAAAGGAAAATAAAAAACAGAAAACCTAGTAATCCCCGATCACATTTCCAGTACCACCAATGATGAAAAACTAGAGTAGTAGAACTCTTTAAATTACCAATTCTAATTTATCTAAAAGCACATTCACATTTCACATCCGTATCCGCAATCGCATTGTTGAATTTTAAATTAGAAAAAATAGTCTGCTTTGTTTGCTATGCACACACTCTCTTTCTCTTACACACACACACCTACACAGCCCAACCACCTGACCACCCAACCTGGCACCCAACCAACCAACCGAAGAGCCAAGCAGGCAGCCAGCCACCACCCATCCATCTAACCAACCATTCATCAGCTTTAGTTCAATTCTAGTTGCTTTCCTTTTTGGTTCGCTTGCTTGCTTGTTTGTTTGTTTGCTGTCGTCTCACATTTACTCCTCCACTTCACGTCATTTGGAAAATCAGCCAACAAACAGATAAATAAGTAGTACAACAACTATAACAACAACAACAGCTACAGCTACAAAAAGAAACATCATAATTATCCTAAAAAATGTTTTCTGCAAATGAGTTCATTGATGTGTACTTGTTTTTTACTACATATATTGTATCTCTTCTTCTCTTCCCCTCTCTTTCTTCATCTCGTTCTTGTTCTTCTCTTCCTGTGTTTGCAGATGCGACACATTGCAAACGTCTTTCATTCACTCACTCGCTGCTGGCTTGCTCGTTCACCTTGCAAAACAAAAACAGCAACAACAAAAAGACAAACAGCAACATCGCCATTGCATCAGACAGTCAGTCAGTCAGTCAATCAGTCACACAAGAAGAACTCCATCCAACGTGTCTTGTCAAACAAAACTTCAAAACAAAAAACGCAAAACTTCATTCCTTCGCCAAGACAGGCGACGTCAGTGTGAGTGGATTGTGGTTGTGGTGCAGGCAGAGTAGGAAGAGTGAACCGCTCGCAAAGTTCCAAATTTAAGCTACAAAATATTCGGCGTTTTCACATTGTTGGGGTAGTGGACCAAAGAGTCTGCGCGTGTGTGTGTGTGTGTGCGTCTGACCACCATCAGCGGATTCAGCAGCCGTCATACCTCCCCACCACTCCCCAAGCAAAGAGAGTGTCGAGCATAAAGCGTTGCCACCCAAGCAAATTTAAACCGCGGCCTTACCGCGGCATATTATGTCACGAGACGATTACAATCCTGTAACAAGCTCTGGTGTTCGAAGCCCGGGTCGTGCCAGACGACTAACGGAATTACCAACAGTAGATCGTTCACCATCACGAGATTACGGTGCACGTGGAAGTCCTTTAGGTGAAGATTTTATTCAAAAATTCTCATTATTGAATATAAGTTCTTGTTTTTTCTTTAAACTTTGCTGGGCGTTTGTTTTTCTCTTGGAGGGCAAGTCGCTGAAAGCAAGCAGTAAAAAAATGCAAATTTTCGCCACTTCCACTCCATTTCATTGATGAAGTCCACGGCGGTGGCTAAGGTCCCCAAGAGAAACACAAACGTTTTTTTTTTCATTTTGTTTTCTTTAGTTTGTAAGTTTTGTAATTCGATCTGTTATCGTGCAGATTGTTTACTTTTGTCTTAGCTTTTTTTTGAATAGAAGAATTTGGCTTTTGAATTGGATTGAAAACAATATCAACATAAAAACTAGTTTTACTTTCCTTCTTTTCCACAATTTATTTAATCAAATGTAAAAAAAGGAAAATTAGAATAAGAAATCATTTACAGTTGGTTTACAAGAGATTTATAACACCGCGTGGAAATGGCAACAAAAGTAAGAAATAGATTTAATGATGCTGAAGTACATTTTGAAGCATTTGAAGTTAAAACGCGTTAAAACCAGTGAGGAAATGACAAAAGTGGGGGGGGTTTTCTTAATGACACCATACATCTCTATGGCCGGTTATTACATCTTTCCAATAGATAAAAAAGTGATGTAGTCGGACACATAAATCGTTTTTATACCCTCCACCATACTATGGAGGGTATATTAATTTTGTCATTCCGTTTGTAACTCCTCGAAATACTCATGTCAGACCCAACAAAGTATATATATTCTTGATCAGCGTAAAATTCCAAGACGATTTAGCCATGTCCGTCTGTCTGTCTGTCCGTCTGTATGTCTGTTGTAATCACGCTATCTTTCGAACAAATTGAGATAGAAGGCTAAAATTTTGCACACATGTATATTTTGCGAGTAGGCAGGTTAAGTTCGTAAATGGGCCATGTAGGTCCAAGTTATCATATAGCCCCCATATAACGGTACCTACCGATATTCGGTACTTTGATGATTTTAGCGACATTATTCAACGGAATTGTTTCAAATTTGGCATTTGAAGTTCGTAATAGAAACTACAGCCTAAGACAGAAAATTATCTGTGCAGGTCCACGTCTTCGTATAGCCCCCATATAACGGTACCCCCCGATATTCGGTATTTTGATGATTTTAGCGACATTATTTAACGGAATCGTTCCATGCCAGATAATTGTCTGTGCAGGTCCACGTCTTCGTATAGCCCCCATATAACGGTACCCCTATATTCGGTATTTTGATGATTTTAGCTACATTATAAACAGATTTTTCTTCAAGTTTCGCATTTAAATATTGTAATAACTTATGACAAAAGTTTCCTATGCGGGTCTACGTCGTCGTATAAGCATTCGGTATTTTTAAGATTTTAACAGAATTTTCAACGGATTTTATTATTATTATTATTATTTTTTTTTTTTGGAAATTGGCAAATTGGTACAAAATGGTGGAGGGTATTAAAAGTTCGGCCCGGCCGAACTTACAGCTTTTTTACTTTTTCGTTATTACAAGTCTCATTTAAATGTAAACTGTCCGATAAGCAAAAGGCCAGACCAAGGCCCATTTATTAGGTCGAGTAAAGGGCGAAAAAAGCTGTTTTACTTCTTCGAACTGTCAAAATTTCTTCTGAAGCGAATAATAATTAGCTATTATTTATCTTTTATGTGGAGAATTTGTAAACATCTCCGAGAAAAAAAAAACAAAGTAAAGCATACGAAATAAAGCACACGGTCATAGTATTAAAATTAAACAGAAGGCAAGACGTTTCAATGAACCTATTTTGGCAATTTGTGGGGGGGATTGAATGGGCGATTAAGGGCGATTGCACTATTACGGATTGATAGACTGAATATAGTGTAGCTATAGCTTACTCTGAATCGATATCGTATACATTTACCGAATGCATTTTTTTCAGCTACATGTATCCTACCGTAAGAAATATCATTTCGATAGGGTATATATTATGACTCTGAGAAGGTTTTAAAATAAATTCGGATGAAAAATAAATTAAATAAATAAAATTCAATAAATGTCTTTGTAAGTGCACAAATGGATTCTAGTTGTTCAGATACCAATTTGATGTATAAGATATATATATATATATATATAATATATATATATATATATATATATATATATATATATATATATATATATATATATATATATATATATACATATATATATATATATAGTATATATATATATATATATATATATATATATATTATATATATATATATATATATATGTATATATACATATATATATATATATATATAGGAGCTATTTCCACATCTTAGCCGATTTCGAGAAACTTTGGGAAAGGGATTTCCGAGCTCTATAAATATCATTGTTGCAGAGTGCATATTCCGCATATAAAGGACTCAAAACCCTACATCGGATGAAGCATTTAAACATTAAATCGGATAAAACGTATGTATGGCAGCTATAGCTATATTATTTACATTTAATACACTTGCTTTTAGTCTGAATCCGGTAGGAAGTGCCAAAATTCAGGTCTATTGGACTGATATTGGCTATTTGGTGCACAATTTAGGATATATTGGAGCTGTATCCAAATCTGCACCGATCTTGACAAAATTTGATGCACTTATTTCAAAACTGTTTCTGATACCAGAGAGCATTGTTGTTGAATAAATATTACACTTGTGAGGGACTTTAAACCCCAAATCAGATAAAACATACATATTGGACCTATAGCTGCAGCTATATCTGAATCGATTTACACTAAATTTACTGGTTTCTAGGATGACTCCAGTTGTAATTGCCAAAATTCAGTTCATTTGTTGATATTAGCCATTTGGTGCACAATAAACCTGATACCGGATAAATATATATATGGGAGCTACATCCTGATCTGAACCGATCTCGATAAAATTTGACAGACGTATTTTTGAGCAGTATCTGATGTCCGGTACCAAATATCATTCTTGTGAAGTGCATATTACGCATTTGAGATACTTAAAACCCCAAATCGGATGAAACATATATATGGGAGCTATAGCTATAACTGAGACGATTTCCAAATTTTCCAAATTTGATGTGCTTGCTTCTACACTGAATTCGGTGGGATGTACCAAAATTTAAGTCATTAGGACTTATATTGGCCATTTAGTGCACAAATCGGTTGAAGCTATATGGAAACCATATCTAAATGTGATCCGATTATCACCAATATCAATAGAGTTCATCATTGGGCCAAACAAATATTGTTTGCAAAATTTCATCTCAATCGGATAATAAATCAGACCTGCATTTTATTCACAAGAACAGGCGGACAGACGGATGGACTGGAGGACTGATATGCATAAAATGAAGAACCTCAAAAAATAAATAAATACGTTTAAAGTTCCGTACAAATATTAACAAGTTAAAAAGCAGTAAGTTCGGCCGGGCCGAACTTTTAATACCCTAAACCATTTGGAACGAATTTGACAATTTTCAAAAAAATAATATCCTTAAAGAATTCTGTTAAAATTTTAAAAATACCGAATATAGCCGTTATATTGGGGTGTATACGACGTGGACCTACATAGGCATTGTTTGTCATAAGCCATTACCATATTCAAATTCAAATACGAATTTCAAATACGACATCTCAAACAATTTCGGTGAGTATTTTACCTAAACTCGTCAAAATACCGAATATCGGGAGGTACCGTTATATGGGGGCTATACGAAAACGTGGACCTACGCAGACAATTTTCTGTCATAGGCTCCACTACGAACTTCAAATACCAAATTTTAAGCAATTCCAGAGAAAAATGTCGCTAAAATCATCAAAATACCGAATACCGGGAGGTACCGTTATATGGGGACTATACCAAAACGTGGACCTATATGGCCCATTTACATAATACTTAAATTCCTGCAGACATAATATACATGTGAGTAAAATTTTGTTCATCTACTTCTACTTCCCAGACGGACGGACATCGCTAAATCGTCATAGAGTTTTATGCTGATAAAGAATATATACTTTGTGGGGTCTAAATTGTATATTTCGTGGTGTTACAAACGGCATGACAAACTTAATATACCCTCCATACAATGTGGAGGGTATAAAAAGGATCAAAAGTATGAGTCAAACGAAGGGGTATTTTTCGTCATCTTTTAAAATTTGGTTAAAACCCCACTTTTAAAGGATGGCAAAAATTGAGGGTTACAGTTTTCAACCAAAATGTTCATGATGTTTTATCTGTAATATATCCGAAAGCACCATATACCTTAAGTTTACATAAAAAAATCTTTGTATTATTAAAACCACTGTTTTCATAGAAGACATTTGGACGTATTTATAAATAATATTCCCTCACTTTGTATGCGACCCTCGTTAAAATTATAATTGATAGTTATAATTACTCATTTGCCCTGAAAAGGCTTGGCCATTACAATTGATAAAAAAAAGACAAAACGAGAAGTGGAATGACAAAAGAGGAAAATAAATAGAAAATGAAAGAAAGTATTTTGTGCCTTAGCCCCCAAAGGGGGCCGTACGCTAACAAAAAAAAAAAGCGAAGAACAAAGACACCAGAATACCCAGGACATTATCGTTTTCATTGGAACAATTAAATTACCATAAAATCGATTAGAGTGTTAAGAAGATCTCTCAATGTAAGCCCACTGGCAAACGGTTTGTGGAAAGGGGAAGTAAAACGCAAAATGAAAGAACATTTTCGAAATATAATAAAAAATAATTGCACGTTAACAGAAATTAAAGAATTTCAATTAAATTTCCTTTTTTCGTATTAAGAAATGCTAAATAATTTAACTAACAAACGATTTTTAGTTAGATAAAGTATTTTTAAGTTGTAATAAACTTTTAGTTGTGAATTTTGCTTTAGTTTTAGGAGTGCAATTTAAAAAACAAAACAAAAAGAGAAAAAACATTTAATTTTATTTAAGAACAAAACAAAAAATATGTAATTTATTTTTGATCCTAAAACTAATTTTATTATCTTACATCACG